AACGGAGAAGCCACCAGAGGGGTTGGTCGCGGTGGTGGTGGCAGCAGAGGTGGCTTTGGGCTTGTCCCCGGTGTGGGTGCGCTGGTGGCGGTTGAGGTGGGAGCTGCGGCTGAAGCACTTGCCGCACTCGGGGCACTTGTAGGGCTTCTCCCCGGTGTGGACGCGCTGGTGGATGGTGAGCTCGGAGCGTTGGATGAAGCTCTTGCCGCACTCGGGGCACTGGTAGGGTTTCTCCCCCAGGTGGGTGCGTTGGTGGGTGATGAGGTTGGAGGAGACGCTGAAGCACTTGCCGCACTCCCCGCAGCGGTAGGGCTTCTCCCCCGTGTGCATCCGCCGGTGCTTGGTGAGGTCCGACTTCTGGATGAAGCCCTTCCCGCAGTCCCCGCAGGCGTAGGGCTTCTCCCCGGTGTGGATCCGCCGGTGTTTCACCAGCGCCGAGCGTTGCCCGAACCCCTTCCCGCACTCCCCACACTTGTAGGGTTTCTCCGGCGGCGGCGGCACCACCGATGCCGCCGGTGCCGTTTCCCCGCCTCCGGCCTCCCCTTCCCTCCCGCAATCCAGACACTGTTGACTACGAGGCCGTAACCCCCCGGTTCCTCCCCGGTTCTTCCCGCAATCCGGGCACTTGGGGGGCTGCCCCACGTTGCCCCCGCCGCCGCCGCCGCCGCCGCCGTGGGCCCGTTGATGTTTGAGCAAAGCGGCGCCTTGGCCGAAGCAGCGCCCGCACTGGGAGCACTGGAAGAGGCGGCCGTGCCGGTGGGCGGCCAAAAAGCCGGCGAGATGTTCGGGGCAGCGGTAGGAGGCCCGTTCGGCCGCGTGGATCTTCTGGTGCCGGTCGAGGTGGGAGCTGACGCTGAAGCTCTTGCCGCACTCGGGGCAGGTGTAGGGCCTCTCCCCGGTGTGGACCCGTTGGTGTCGCTCCAGGTCGGAGCGTTGGATGAAGCCTTTGCCGCAGTCGCCGCAGGCGAAGGGCCTCTCCCCGGTGTGGATGCGCCGGTGCTGGGTGAGGTTGGAGCCGCGGCTGAAGCTCTTGCCGCAGTCGCCGCAGCGGTGGGGCCGTTCCCCGCTGTGGGTCTTACGGTGTTTGGCCAAGGCCGAACGTTGGGCGAAGCTCTTCCCGCAATCCGGGCACCGGTGAGGAGCTGATGGAGCTTCTGGTGGTGGTGGTGGTGGCGGCGCCGGTCGAGGCCTGGCGCGGGGTTGGGCGGGAGGCCCGGGCCCCCCGGCGTGGGTGCGACGGTGCCGGTCGAGGTGGGAGCTGACGCTGAAGCGTTTGCCGCAGTCGCCGCAGGGGTAGGGCCTCTCCCCGGTGTGGACGCGGCGGTGACGCTCCAGGTCGGAGCGTTGGATGAAGCCCTTGCCGCAGTCGCCGCAGCGGTGGGGCCGTTCCCCGGTGTGGATGCGCCGGTGCTGGGCCAGGTTGGAGCCGCGGCTGAAGCCTTTGCCGCAGTCGCCGCAGCGGTGGGGCTTCTCGCCGCCCCGCTCCGTTTGCCGCCCGCCGGCCTGGCGACAGCGGCGCCCGCACTCGGAGCAGCGCCGGGGCCTGGCCGGGCTCTGCGACCGGTTCCTCCTCCCGCACTCGGCACAACCGCCCCGGGACGCGGCCGCCCCCCCCTTCTTGCCCCCTTTACCGGTGACGGGGGGGTCACCCGCCTGCCCCCCGCTTTGCTGCTCGTCGGCCTCCTCCGGCGTCGTCTCCTCCCCGTCCCGAGGTGCCGCGTCCTCCTCCGTCCCGCTCCCGGCGCCAGCACCTGCACCGTGGGGAGAAACCATGAGTTCCTCCTGGTACAACCCGCCCAAATTGGGAAAAATGGCATCTGGGTGGGCTTCTGGAGGGCCCTTGACATGGTCCCCCCCACAACGGCCTTCTCTCTAAGTTGGAGAGATAGAGAGGTGATGGATGAACCATTTGGTGGATGAGGAATTGGGTGGATGGTGGCATCCAGAGAGTCCTGGTCAATGGTTCAACATCTGGCTGGAGACCATGAGGTCTCCTTAGGGATCCGTACTGGGACCAGTAGTGTTCCATGTCTTCACCAAGGACGTATGCCACCATCGTCCCTTGGACATGGTCCTCCACATCCTTTTCAGTTGAAAGGACCATTTGGTAGATGAGGAATTGGGTGGATGGTGGCATCCAGAGAGTCATGGTCAACAGCTCCATGTTTAGATGGAGACCAGCGAGGAGTGGTGTCCATCAGGGGTCCATACTGGGACCCTCATCAAGGACATGTGCCACCATCATCCCTTCAACATGGTCCTCCACAATGTCCTCCTCAGTTGGATGGAGTTGATGGATGGACCATTTGGTGGATGAGGAACTGGGTGGATGGTGGCATCCAGAGAGTCATGGTCAACAGCTCCATGTTTAAATGGAGACCCTCAGGGGTCCGTACTGGGACCCTCATCAAGGACATGTGCCACCATCATCCCTTCAACATGGCCCTCCACAACGTCCTCCTCAGCTGGATGGAGTTGGTGGATGAGGAACTGGGTGGATGGGGGCATCCAGAGAGTCATGGTCAACAGCTCCACGTTCAGATGGAGACCAGTGAGGAGTGGTGTCCCTCAGGGGTCCATACTGGGACCAGTACTGTTCCATATCTTCATTAACCACATAAATGGTGGGATCGAGGACCACCTCAGCAAGTTTGGAGGTGACCCCAAGCCGAGTGGGGTGGTTGATACCACAGAGGGATGGGAACCACCCAGAGGGACCTGGACGAGGTGGCCCCAGGTGAACCCCCAAAGCCACAAACCCCCAAACATGCCCCAACCCGTTTCTCATGGGATGGTCCCAAGATGGATGGGTCTTGGAGATGATTTTGAGAGGTTCCCCCCCAAAATTACCTCCATCCTTGGGGGTTTTCTTGCGAGTCCGGCGTTTCCCGCCCTGTCCCTGCTCCCTCACCAGCTCCCTCAGCATCTTCTCCACCTGGGTCCTCCCGGCCGTCTGCAGGATCAGCCCCAACTGGCGCCTCAAGTCGGGGTTCACCCCCCCATCGCTGGAGCCGGCCCCCGCCGAGGGCTGGATCTGGGTGGGCTCCGGTTGGCCCTGCTCCCCCTCCGCTTCCACGCCTGGAAAAACCACCGTGAGAGCCCACCCCAAAACCCAAAGGATTCACCCCAATTTGGGAGGGCTCCCCCAAAAAAATCCCAACCAAATTTGAGGTGTCCCCAAAAAAATCCCAAGGAATTAAACCAAATTTGAGGGGTCCCCAAGTCACCTAAATCTGGGAAGAACTTAAAACCTAAGGGATTCTCCCAAATTTGGGAGGTCCCCAGTTCATCCCAATTTGGGGATTCCCCAGTAAAAACTAAAGGATTCACTCAAATTCAGGAAATCCTCAAAATCTCGGGAATTCCCCCAAATGTGGAGGTCTCCAAAACCTAAGGAATTTCCCCAAATTTGGTGCTCCTCAAAAACCCTAAGGAATTGACGCAAATTTGCGGATCCCCAAAAACCTAAGGAATTCATCTAAATTTGGAGGGGCCCCCAAAACCAAAGGAATTCACCCAAATTTGGGGGGATTCCCAAAAACCCAAGGAATTCACCCCAATTTGGGGAATCCTCAAAAGCTAAGGGATTCTCCTGATTTTGGGGGTCCCAAAAAAACCTAAGGAATTCATCCCAGTTTTGAGGGGTCTCCAAAACCCAAGGATTTCACCCAAGCTTAGGAGGTCCCCAATTCATCCAAATTTGGGGAATCCCCAAAACCCAAAGGAATTCAGCCCAATTTTGAGGGGTCCCCAAAACCTATGGAATTCACCTAAATTTGGGGGAGAGTCCCCACAAAAATCCCAAGGAATTTACCCAAGTTTGGGAGGTCCCCAGTTCACCCTGATTCATCCCCAGTTCATCCCCCAAAACCTAAGGGATTCACCCAAATTCATCCAAAAATGGAGGTGGCCCCAAAACCTAAAGAATTCATCCCATTTTGGAGGTCCTCAAAACCCAAAGGGATTCAGCCCAATTTGGAGGTCTGCAAAAAATCTAAGGAGTTGACCCGAATTTGGGGGAACCCTCAAAAGTAATGAATAGATCCAAATTGGGGAGGGGGTCCCCAAAACCCAAGGAATTCACCCAAATTTGGGGAATCCTCAAAACCTAAGGGATTCTCCTGATTTTGGGGGTCCCAAAAAAACCTAAGGAATTCATCCCAGTTTTGAGGGGTCTCCAAAACCCAAGGATTTCACCCAAGCTTAGGAGGTCCCCAATTCACCCAAATTTGGGGAATCCCCAAAACCCAAAGGAATTCAGCCCAATATTGAGGGGTCCCCAAAACCTAAGGAATTCACCTAAATTTGGGGGAGAGTCCCCACAAAAATCTCAAGGAATTCACCCAAGTTTGGGAGGTCCCCAGTTCACCCCGATTCATCCCCAGTTCATCCCCCAAAACCTAAGGGATTCACCCAAATTTTTGGGGTTCCCCCAAAACCCTAAGGAATTCATCCAAAAATGGAGGTGACCCCAAAACCTAAGGAATTCATCCCATTTTGGAGGTCCTCAAAACCCAAAGGGATTCAGCCCAATTTGGAGGTCTGCAAAAAATCTAAGGAGTTGACCCAAATTTGGGGGAACCCTCAAAAGTAATGAATAGATCCAAATTGGGGAGGGGGTCCCCAAAACCCAAGGAATTCACCCCAATTTGGGGGGTGGGGTCCCACAAAGAACCCCAAGGATTTCACCCAAGTTTGGGAGGTCCCCAGTTCACCCCAATTCATCCCCAGTTCATCCCCCAAAACCTAAGGGATTCACCTAAATTCATCCAAAAATGGAGGTGGCCCCAAAACCCAAGGATTTCACCCAAATTTGGGGAATCCTCAAAACCTACGGGATTCTCCTGATTTTGGGGGTCCCAAAAAAACCTAAGGAATTCATCCCAGTTTTGAGGGGTCTCCAAAACCCAAGGATTTCACCCAAGCTTAGGAGGTCCCCAATTCACCCAAATTTGGGGAATCCCCAAAACCCAAAGGAAT